CTTTTGAAGCTATTCCCACCACCACAATATCAACATAAAAAGCAGAGGAGAATATTATTCAGAAGGCCGTACATGAATACAATGAAAAAAACGCGAAAATTCGCGCGTTAATATGTCAGAAATTGCGCGTCAATATGGTGTATCCTATCATCGCCTTCGTGCTCGAATCGGTGGTAGAGCAAGCAAAACAACACGGAAACCGACTCAGCAACCTCTTGATCCTGCTCAGTTTGATGATTTATATAATCATATTAATCGGTTTGATGACCTAGGTGCTCCGTTACGAGTAGTGGCGATGTCAAAAGGCTGCTAATACAATTCTTAAACGAGGCCATACTGATCCTTTAAACACCACCAAGAGTCTCCAAAAACGGGGATATCGCTTCCTACGACGGAATCCACAGTATACCAAAGGGAAGCGGCGTGTAATTGAGATGGATCGGCGCGAGGCAGAGAATATTGAAGATATTCTGCAGTGGTACAATCAGTTGCAGCATCAAATTGAGGCGTTTAATATTGCGGATAAAGATATCTGGGATTTTGATGAAACTGGCTTCCGTGTTGGCCAGGGACGCATTGAATCAGTTATTACTAAGTATCCAAAGCGCAATAACGCTATTGCAAGCGCGTCATCACGGATACTGGTCAGCGCAATTGAGTGTGTCAGTTCTACCGGTAATTAATTCCACCGTTGTTGATTATGCCAGGCAAGGTTCGGCTAGAGGACTGGTATACACAAACCAATCTTCCAGATGATTATATTCTTGAAACCTCTGAATCAGGCTATATAAATGATGAAATTGCATACCTTTGGATTCATCATTTTAACCAGAATACTGCCGGATGCAGGACGACAAAAAGAGAGATATCGCCTTCTTCTTATGGATAACCATGAGTCCCATCTTACTATGGATTTTGTGCGATTCTGTCAAGATCATAAATTTATTTTGTTACCTTTTCCACCGCATTTAACACACCGGTTGCAACCGCTTGATTCAGTTCCCTTTCAACAGCTTAAAGCTTGCCACGCCGATGCAGTTAACGCTGTTTCCCGTATAAATGGCAAGCAATATGACAAATCAGAATTCCTATATGATGTTGATAAAATCCGGAAGCAAGCTTTAAAGCCCCGTACAATCCGCGCCGGCTGGCGGGAGGTAGGGATCCGGCCATGGAATCCCATGCATGTCTTGCAACAGATTGGATATACAACAGATATAGAGGAGGAACCTTTGAAAATATATGACGGGGACCATATAATTGAGAATTTTGACCAGCTGGATCCGTTAACTACCGAGGATACTGCAGTAGTGACAACAACTACCACTATGCCTACCACTACCGTAGAGAGAACTCCAACGCCACCACTGCAGAATAAAGTGGAAACACCTAAAACACTGCATTCAATTCGTCATCAAATTACTTTACTACGACCCACTAAAAAGGAGCTTTCTCCTACAATTGATCGTATCCTGCGTGGTGCTTTATCCAACGCAGAGAAAGGAGCCATGTCCGCGGCGGTATTGGATGAAACCTTAAGAGGCGCAAAAACGACCATCTAATTCAACCACACGATCCCGCCGGCAGGTCAAACCAGGTCCTATATATAATTGGCAAGTTCGGCGTCAAATTGACGAGAGAAAAGCAAAGGAAATACGGTCTCGTTATAGAGCTATGCAGAAAGAAAATCGCAAGGGTGCGGAAGCTCTTTTGAAGCAAATTGGTCAAGATATTGATAAATCACCCACACAATCTTCTGTAGAGCCAGAAAATGAGTCATCTGAATCGCTGTTCTTCATGGATACGCAAGGGGATCGTGGTATACCTTCATCATTTTTATATTAAGCAATATTCGTTGATTTTTTCAATATATATTTTTTTTTGGCGTTGAAGTGTAGCCGACCCCCTACTGCAAAAAGTGGGGGGAGGCGGTGCGACGGGTAAGTCGGTCATGTTATCTGAAAAATATCCAAGGACCAAGGCGAACACAAGATTGATCGAAATATTTTCAGTATTGTGGGTCAGACCGACGCGTCACCTTCAATGGATCCCCAAAGTGATTACACAAGTCCGCCACCCTCTCTTCTAGTTAATCTCCGAAGCCATTGGTGGGTTCCTGTTTTGCCGTAAATATACTGTATTGTATTGTATCATACCACGCGTATCCGTTTTAACCTGTTGTTCTGTCACTTTTGGACAGGAGCACGGAGTTCTGTACAGTGGCTGCAAGTTTGTCATATGTTAATGTAAGAGTCGGACATACCAGAGTACGAGAACTAGTTTCCTGTCGGTTTGGAAGGCATTTTGGTCTTGATATCGGCAGTTGCATAACAAAGATATTTTTACAATGAATGGCGCTGTTCGCAAATATCACCACCATTTTATTAGCACGTTTGAGGCAATTAAGCTCATCTTGATTATTCTGATAATTATGTTGGTTCCATGTACATGATATCAAGTAAAGGTAAACAATAGATCTTTATATATGGAATAAATTCCCTATGCCTAGTTGCATTTATTTCTAATTACTTGGTGTCTGTCTACGGCGGACGGATATGGCCAAATGATCAAACTAAAATTCTACTGCTTGAATCTCCAATCAACTTGGATCCGGATAAAGGGGGTGCCGGGAATCCAATTAACTTGGACCCGGAGGAGGGAGAGGGGGTTGAGAACCCGATTATTCTTTAAGTGATTTTTTTGTACATGTTTCCATGCACCAGAACCGGCACCAGCATGTCCCAGCCGTACGGGCCCTGTGTACGGCACCTAAGCATGGCTTGCACCTCTATGCGGTGCTTAGGACTAGTAACCGGAAGGTGAAACCAAGCAAGCCACCTGATATGCCAAAATTTCTCACCTAGATGTGGTGGTAGATTCTGCCAGCAATATAATAAGAATTTTAGTTTTGATCATTTGGCCATATCCGTCCGCCGTACGCTTCAGGCTTTGTAGCTGCGGGTTTAGTTCCTCATAAACCTGAAAGAGCGCTAGACAAGCTGCAGCTTCTAACACTGCAACTTCTAACACTGCAACATCATCGCCACCACCAAGCAGAAGCAGTAGAGGAGCACGGCCTACCCCCCACTTTTTGCAGTCAGGGGGTTGGCTACAATTCAACGCATTTTTTATATTTCAACACCAAAAAAAAAAATCAATTATACTGTATTTGAAGCTATTCCTACCAACACAACAAATTCAATAATAAAGCCGAAGAGGCTATTATTCAGAAGGCTGTACACGAATATAATTTGGGGGAAAAAAAGGCGACGAATCGTTCGTCAATATTGCAGACCTTGCGCGTCAGTATGGTATTTCCTATGACCGTCTCCGAGCTCCAATCAATGGTAGAGCAAGCAAATCAACGCGGAAACCGACCATGCAGCGCCTGGAACCTGCTCCGTATGATGCTTTATATGAGTATATTGATCGTTTTGATGACCGAGGCGCCCGTTGAATATTAGCGACGTTCGAAGGGCTACAGATGCAGTCTTATACAAAGCCATACCGATCCTTCAAAACCACCCCCAACAGTCTCTAAAAACTGCGCATATCGCTTTCTGAAGTGCAATCCTCAATATACTAAAGGGCAAAGGCGCGTAATTGAGGTGGAACGACGCGAAGCAGAGGATATTGAGAAGATTACACTCTTTAATAGTTAGCTGCGGCATACAATTGAGGCATATAAAATTGATGATCAAAACGTCTGGAATTTTGATGAAACTGGCTTCTGAAATTGGTCAAGGTCGAATCGACTCGATTATTGCTAGGTATCCCCAACGAAATAATTCAATTGCAAGGGCGTCAACCCGTACGCTCGTGGGTGCGATTGAATGCGTCAATTCTATCGGAGATTCAATTCCACCATTGTTTATTATTCCAGGCAAGGTGCGCCTAGAGGATTGGTATATACAGACCAATTTGTCAACGGATTATATTATTGAAACCTCTGAGTCATGCTACACACTGATGTGATTGCATTTTGATAGTTATACTAAAAGGCGATACAGAAGCATAGATACCGGTTGGTTCCTATGGATAACCATGTCTCAATTTACTGTTAAATTCGTCCAACACTGTCAAGATCGCCAAATTATACTGTTGCCTTTCCCACTGCATTTAACGCATTATTTGCAACCACTCGATTCAATTCCCTTCCAGCAGCTTATAAAAGCGCACGCCACTGCAGTCAACGCTGTTTTATCCATGGCCGGTAATATGACAAATTGGAGTTTTTATATGATATTGACAGTATAGGGGGGCAGGCTTCGACCTCTCGAGTAAGCCGCGCGGGTTGGCGAAAGGATCCAGCCATAGAATCCGCCCAGATCGGGCCAGCTTACGCATTCATTGTTGACGCCATTCATAATAATAAAGAGCCGGGCACACCAGCAGCCGTGGGAAACCGTCTCGCAATGCCGAGCGGACCGTGTGAGGAAAGGATCCGGCAGCCTCCCCATCAAGAGCGTCGGCCACCTTAATTAATGCAATAATCACACCCGCCAAGAAATGCAAGACTCAAAAGAAATGGTCATGGCCAGTCCAGATGTTAAACATTTGAGGCCGCAGAGGGACTGTTTTGCCAAAGCAGACAGCGCACCCAGTGATTCAGGCTATTCATCAAGCCAGGAGGAAGCACGGCAAGGCCCGCCAACTTCCAAGAGACAGAGGATCAGTATCGTGAGGGCGAGGGTGACGACGTTTTATACGAAATTAATTATATACAAAAAAAAGCCCCAGCACCACAACCAAAGTACGCAACCGTTTGAATTTTATGTTAAATTACACTTAACATATCAAATAACCTCGTGATCATCCTTAAAACGAGCCTACCTCCCGCTCCCCGTCGTCATTGTTGGCGCCATTGCGCCCGGAAAGGCTACGTGGCCTTCAAATCCTCAAGGCCGATTGAGCAAGCAACGCCACGAAAACATATACCATATACGAACGCCTTCTTAACTGTTGCCTTAGAGCTGGAAGCAGTCCAGGATGGAGCAGGCTCACACGGCCCGCCAAAGGGCGTGTCCCAGCCCTTCCTGGATGCGGTAATTGAACTGGTCAGACAGGTACAAGAGGCTCCCTCCGTTGAGGACCTCACCAAAGACATCGCGGAACTAAAGTCCCTAGTGACGAAGCAGACAAGAAACTAGTTACAGCTGGTCAAATCCGTTAATGTGCTTGGGACCCTGCGGACCGCACCAACAACAACCTCAGGATAGTACGTATCTAATTGGCTGAGCGCCGCCCATACCAAAGGGTCTACGGCACCCAGCACAATCACGAGGACGTCGGGATCCCCGGCACCAGTGCTGCCGCTGGTAGACGACCTACAACTGCATGTCCGCAGGACCACCCCATTGGAAGTCAACCCCTTTCGGTATAACTACCAGAAGCTGGTCGACGAGGTGAACCGATCTATCGCCAGGAGCGGCGACAAGATGACCAGCCACCGTAAAGTGGTTGCCAGCCGCGTCTTTGCCCAGCGGGGATGTGGTCCTTACAGTTGACAACATGGAAGAAGACGCCGAAAGACTACAGCGCACCACGTCCACCTGGCCAAAGGGTCTTTTTGCTTAAACGCCGCGGATATCCAGTGGCTGTCCACCAGGTTGACGTTGCTTACAGCTTCGCCATGAGATCGGTCCTCCTAGCATGAAGAGCATGCCGGATCTTGATTTTCGATCGGAACGATCTCCTGCATAATAAGTGTCTGAATAGCCGATAACTTGATTCGCATGCCTAGCACCTGGTCCATAGTGAATCTTTACATTGACTGTTGATCGCAGGTAGTAGCGTAAGAGGGTTTTTATGTCTTGAGCGTGCTCTCTGGTTGGCTTGTCCATAACGTATTTTACAAGCGAGCGTTCCATACGACATGTCAGGTCGCGAATAGACCATTGCGAACATTGTACTACTTGCTGACAATCTCTTTTGGGTGCGAGTTCGTCATCTTGTCGTGCTTTCAACAATATTTTGCCACTTGCCATTGGTGCGCGGGTTGGTGCAATCGCTTTGTGATCGTACTGTCGCAGCATTTTGCTTAATATATGCTGGCTGGTCCAGGTAGATCGTGCGGTTTGAGCGTTCGCGGGTTATACGGATACCGAGGATTTTCGAAATCCCCCCCAGATCCTTGATATTGAAGTATCCGCAAATTTCGCCTTAAACTTGTGAATTTCTTGCATGTTCTTCGCAGCAATGAGCAGGTCGTCCACGTATATTCCGATAAGAACACCTGTGATGTGGTTGCGAAATACGCATGGGTCACTTGGAATCGGCTCGAATCCCATTTCTTTAAGCGTTTTTGAACATAGGTTGTACTAATCTCGCGCAGCTTGTTTCAAACCGTACAAGTTTAACTCAAGTACGCGTCCATTAGACAGCTCAGCGCCAGCTGGCGGAAGCATATATATTTGCAGAACTCGCAGGGAGTCAATGCGGATTGTTGGCGCGAAGGTTTGTTTTATATTCAACTCCTTGAACCTGGCTAAGACCTCTTGCGACTAGTCGCTCGCGCTTTAAATCGCTCAACTCCCTTATTCTATTTGGCGCATACCCGACTGCAAAAACCCATTTCGCGGTGACACTATTAACGCCGTCGGGCGCGTGGGTCTCGCGAAAGGAGCCGTTAATAAGAAGCGACCAAAATTCTGATCGGATAGCCTTCTTCCACTCAGGTCCATAGACCGGGTCGTTAATGGCCTCTTCGTACGTACGAGGGATCGGATTTGGGTTACCAACCTTAGGCGCGGTTTTCGTGATATTTTCAACTAATAATGCGAAGTGGGATATTTCATCGACCTTATCTCGCCACTTCTGCTCTTTTAGTTTCAACCTCTTCGATCGGCGGGGATTCGCACTTTGCACTGATTCATCGTCGGTGCGTTCTCTCTTCTTAGTCGGTTTCTAGCATTTCTTACTTTTTCGCAGGAATCGGTTCTTCGTAGCTAGCTCCCACTGAGTCTCGATGCTTTCGATGGCGATTCTCATGATGTTTAGAGTGATTGTGATTGAAACCCTCAGCTGCTGTCTCGTACTTTTCGTTATTATCGGCTGGTTCTGGCAGGCTATCTGGTGAAGCTAGTGATATTTTATCCTGCTTCTTTGGTCGACCTACAGGATTCCTATCTGGTAACGCTGTGGAGGTGGGCTTAATTCGCAGCTTTAGATCGATTGTACCGCCAGGCGTATCTTCATCGACATTAACTGTTGATGCCCTAATAACACGATGGGAATCTGGCGCGTAGATGTGGTACTACTTAGTGATTTCTTTATTATATCCAACAAAGACTCCACTCGTCCGCGATGTAAGTTTATTACTACCAGGAACCGATCGAGGATCAACCGTGAATAACACTCGCTCCCCCAAACCTTCACATGCGTAATCTTAGGGCCAGACCCTGTCCATAGCTCTTCAGGTGTTATGGCATACTTCGTCGTTCATTGCAGACTGCGCTATTGCCACCCGATTGTGATTATATGCGTGCGCTTTCGCAGCCTCATCCCAGAACTCCATTGGTAGTAAGGCCTGCTTAAGCATAACTCGCACGTCTTTCTTCGGTCGCTCTTATCGCGCGTTCAGCCGGACCGTTTTGGTGCGAGGTGTACGGAACTGTTAGTTGAATCTTTAGTCCGTTGCTTTCGTTTTATGCTTTGCATTCCTTTATAAGTTCTCCTGCGTCGTCGACAAGCGCAGCCTTTAACCCGCAATCAGATTCCAATTGAACCCGCTTTCTCCATTCTTCCAGTGCTGCGGGCGCTGCCACACTGTCTGAAATTGGTAGTACCCAGTGTTTGCGGGTGCAGCTATCCACAATCATAATAAACCAGCGATTGCCGTTAATTGTTGTTGCTAGGGGGCCGCAGATGTCTATACTCGTTCCAGTGGTTTAGACTTCGCTTCGCTCTTGGCCCTTGCGTTTATTTTTGCCCCTGCGCAGCATCGTATTTTTAGGTTCTGCTCGGTAAGGAATTGGTTTCTTAAAGATTTGTGATTTCATGAAGATTTCGCAGCTTGCTTTTGCGAAGATGGCCCATTCGTCGATGCCATAAGTTGTACATCTCTTTCTCCTTGTCGCAATACGCGTGGGGTCCCAGTTCCACTAGATCGCTGATCTCTTGTGTCGTATAGGCGTATTTTGCGATATTTGATGAGAACCATTTAATAATGTACGATTTGTTCTCGATAATCGCCTGCAATGCCAACGTTCGATTGCGGTAGAATATGGAAGAATAATAATAAATAATAGTAATAATAACATTTCCTCTAAGCTAACTCTAAATAGGAATAGTCCATGGCTATTCCTATCCTGGCTAGTCTGCTGGTCCACCATCCTCTGACACTTTCTTTATATAAAATACTTTTATTATATTAGTAGTTGTACGGCTTTAATTTAAATCTATTAAGGTTGTGATAAAAGTGGACAGCTTAGCCGTGGAGTATGTTATATTTTTCTGGATTAGTTAATTTTAAGCTTAAAGATAAAAATATTTATTAGTATACATATTTTACTATTAAAAAACTCTACTTTTAATTTTATAAAGCAACTAACTACCTTTATATTTTTATATAACAGCTTTAATTTCTAATTTCTTATGGGGCTAAGCCTGTATACTGCTCAAATCTCGCTGTGTTATATATATATATATATATATAGAGTTAGCTGTCGGAGCCCCGGAGGAAGGCGGCAGGGGAAGTAAGGTATAGTAAATATTAGTAATATCTTTAATAGATCCTTATATTCTTATAATAATATACTGAAGAATAAATAGATTAAATTACTTGTTTTATAATTATAAAAATTGCTTTTAAAGACTTGCTTTTATATTCGCATTTTGTGTTCCTTTTTGGCTAATTAAATCTGTATTTAATTTCAGGTCAGACTTGCTTTGAAATTAACAGAGATACATAGCTAATTAATTTCTCATAGAATCCTCTAGAAATAGATTAAAATATTTTATAGTTTTTTGTGACTTATATATTATAATTTATAAACTTATAATTTTTCCATAGTTTTGCTAATATTTTATAGTAGTAAGTAGTGCCTAATATATTAGGCTTCTATTTCTAACACACCCCAGATTTTAATATATATGGGCATATTAAAGCTGATAAAATACGTATATTAAATAATCCCTTTATTTTTTAATAATTTTTAATGAAATGTCTTGTATATTAAAGGCTTCAGTAAATTTTTTATAGTTCTGACTTGGTAATAATTTAGACTGTTTGCAGGCATTTTTTGACCTAATATCTATTAGATATCTAGGTTTTTATTTTAAATCTAAAGCTAATAATTCTAGATATTAATTTCGTTTTAAATATTAAATTTTCTTTGGTTAAGAGATTAATTGTTTGATAGTTTAAATCCTAGTGATTTTGAATAGTCGCTTTCATTAATATAATTATTTGGTTCCATTTAAAATAGCTAATATTTTAGCTTTAGTGGTAGAAGTAATAACTGTTTTCTGCTTTTTTACTGCCTAATTAATAGGTTTATTAAATAATAGGCATATACGTATATAGCCTTTAAAGCTTTTATAATTTAGGTTATCTGCATATGCAGCACTACTGGCTAATATAAATATTTAATAAATCTAAATTATTGATTTTTGGATATCCTAAAAATTTTATAGCTAGATACTTTAAGTCATATTAAAAAAAAAATTGCATGATTTATTATATATGTTTTAATTCAGGATCTAACAGAAATTTGGATAGTATTTGTATTGATTTTGCTGTGTCAGGTCTAGAAATTATAGTAGTATATAAGGCAAACCCAACCTTTTAATAATATTTATTAATATATTAATCTGAAGCTTTGTAATTATTATTAATTTATAAGATTTAAATATAATTTTTTTAATATAGGTATCTTAACATATCTATAATTTTTATTAGGTCTGTCCCTAATAATTTTTATATTAAGAAACTTGGTTATTTACCAAGATTATTATGAGAATAAGGTATTTATTTTAAAATAGGTATAGGTTTTTAGGGACTGGTTTTAGACCTAATTTTTAAAAATTTACCTATTTCTTTTTGCTATAATAGTAGCCATCTTAATTTATATAGTACTTAATTTTAAAGCCTTATTCTTTTAACCAAAGCCAGGTAAAAATTAAATATAAACAGTTTTATCTAGAGCACTATTTAAAAAGGTGTTAGCTATGTTAAATTATATAGATCTAAGGTTAAAAGCTATTATTAAGGTATATAAAGTTCTTAGGGTTTTTAAAACTAGGGTAATTAATAACCCCTTATATTATTTTTTAATATAGTGGTCCAGGTATTTATATTATTGTGGGTGAAAAGTGGACCACTAGACTAACCAGGATAGGAATAGCCTTGGGCTATTCCTATTTAGAATTAGCTTAGGGGAAATGGATTGTGAATACTATTCTATAATAGTATGGTAAAAGAATAATGGTATATAGGGATAAGATATATTGAACGAAGGTAAGATATAGTGGGCATATAATATAATAATAAAGAATAGCTTATACTTTCCTATTTTGGAAGGTATAGTCTTGAAGAATATAAAAGAATGAATGTTCCATCCACATTTCAAGCAGGGGTTTGAGCTGCTTTTATACCTTTTAACATTCCTAGGGGTCTCCTTCCAAATTAATCTCGGGATTAAAATCCGTGTCATATACTTTCGGAAGTTCGGAACGGGCCGCCGAGATTTCTGTTTCTTAATTAAGTAATTTTCAAATTAAGTAATTAATTAATTAGGTAATTAGAATATCCCAATATTCTGACAATTATTTAATTATTAAAATTTAATATTTGCAGCTTGAATAAACTTTGTTTTTAAAAGAATAGTCTAATATATAGTTCTAACTAATTTTTTGGTAGGTTTAGTAGATCTTAATAAATTTTCTTTTCTTTATATAAAGCTGCAGAAAAGGCTTTAAAAATAATTTATACCTTTTTAATAAAGAGTTAGGTAATAGGGTTTTATTATACTTAAAACCTAATACCTAATTTATATTAGTATATTAATAATTATCCTAAAATTTAATATTTTGATTATTATTTTTTAGAGTTTTCTTAATATAATTAGTAATTTTAAAAATACCTATTATTAATTTGTAATCTCAGTAGTCCGAAAAGGGTAAGACTAGGTTACAGGGTACACCTAATTGCCACGCCACTGCAAAAGGTCAACTAGACTTGGTAATACCAAGTCTGGCTCCCAATTCACTTATCTACCGTCTCCGCAGTCACACTAAATTAGCTGTGATTACAAATTAATACTGTCATTAGTAGTGTATAAAATAGTGATATAGGTTAGTTACTAAAAATTTAGGTTCTTAAGGTTTCCTATTTTTAGTATGTTAATTATAAAAATAATTTTTATTAAGATCCATGGGTTTATTGTTATTAGTTTAATTATTTAGTATAATAACTTGCTAAAATTTGTCTGTAGAGAAACTTTCTAGAGGTTCTTTAGTTTTGTTAATTAAATTATTAGAATGTTCTAAGTTATAAAATTAATTTTTATTAAAAATATAATCTCTAGCTAAAATAATCCTATTTTAGCTAAGAATCTGTATTCTCTATGTTAGAGGTAATATAGCCTACTAGAAACCCTATATATACCCTAGGACTAAGTTTTTTAAATCTAGGTATATATAAAATTTGGGTATAGGCTTTATAACTATAAATCTTTAAATTTAAAATAGATGGTTTATAAGTTATATACCCGGGTTTTTAGGTAATTTTTTTATATAAGGTTTTATATGGGGTTTTCTACCCTAATTATTTAATTAGAGTCCAATTTAAGATATATATAGCTAATTTAATTATTTCTAGTTATAAGGCTTTAGGTAAATTTTAGAATTTATTAATAATCTTTTATTAATAATCAAAGCACTAGCTCTTTCTGTATATAGATTTTATTTAGGTGTTTAGGTAGTAACTCTTTATAAATTATACCTTTTGTCTTAATAAAATTTACTAAAAATTAATACAAGATTTCTTT